TTTACCATTCAGCCACAGAGAAGCTTCTGATGAGCAATGTCCAAATTATTGTTTATAAACACACACCTCCGACGATTTTTCTCGATCGATAATTTCTGCTCACGAGACATCTTAACGTAAACAATACCAACATATTATGAAACGGATTAAGTCCGACAGTTATTTAATACATTTTTGTTCATACGTTATTTTATATCTATAACTATTATATGCTCTGCATGATAATTAAACAGTATCAATTAAATATATCGGTCTGAATTTTCGAGAACTAGACACACACAAAGCAAGAATTTTATTTAATTCTTTTCTTTTCTGGACGCAAATTATATAGAAATTGTCGAAATGTCTTGCATGTCCGAGCACTTTCGGCTATGCTTTTAGCCATTATCAAAGATGTTTTTTATTTTGAGATTTAACTGACAGCATGGGTTGTGTTTTCTGGATATATCTAGAGTTATAGGAATGTTTTGTTTTCCAAACACGTTCAGCAAGTTGTGGACGTGTTCATAAATGATATTATTGAGTGTTGGCTTTTTCTTTGTTATTAATAAGGCTTCCATTATTTTTAACCATTTTTACACGTAGATACTCGTTGATAATACAAATATAATAGTTTCATTCATAAAAAGTATAGCTGAAAGTGCTCGGACATACAGATGATTTGGACAATTTCTGTATAATTTACACGCAGAAATTATATGAATACAAGAAAAAAATTAAAAAATTAACAGCAATATCTTGTCAGTCATTTTTAATGGAACTTGTATAAAAGAGGGATTGCTGCCCAAATACAAAATTATAAACACACACACACACACACACACACACACATATATATATATATATATATATATATATATATATAAACATAAAACATTAGGCAGCATATGATTTACATACAAAGAATAATCACACATAGAATTAATCAGAAGTATCAATGCGATTATTGGCGTAAGTACTAGCATTTTAACATCAAATAAACTGAAAAACTACAGACAACAAGTTTTTCTTCAAGGATCAAAACTCGCACTATGGATGAACAGAATTTTAATGCATATATTATGTTTTCTAGCGATGGATGTCGCCAATAATCGCATTGATACTTCTGATTAATTCTATGTGTGATTATTCTTTGTATGTAAATCATATGCTGCCTAATGTTTTATGTTTATTAAAAACTATCGATCCGCAGTACATAAAAAAATTCCTATAAAAAAAATTACTACTATGACATTACACTATATTATTGAACTATATACTTAGTTCATGACATAAAAACTGAATACACTTGTAAAAATAGAATACGTGGATTTAACACATCCCAAGAAATATTTAAATAAAATTCTCACTTAAAAAATTTTGAAAAAATTAGCGTTGCGTCTTTGCACGTTCCGATATCTTACAACCGTCAATAATAGCAGATATTCAAAAACATCTTTCGGTCGACATACAGGTATATCGTCTCAAGTTTTTGATTTTATAAGAAAAAAAAAAAAACGCATGCCTGATGATGGATGGAAGACTGTCCGTAAGTACTAGCATTTTAACATCAAATAAACTGAAAAACTACAGACAACAAGTTTTTTCTTCAAGGATCAAAACTAGCACTATGGATGAACAGGATTTTAATGCATATATTATGTTTTCTAGCGATGGATGTCGCCAATAATCGCATTGATACTTCTGATTAATTCTATATGTGATTATTCTTTCTATATATATATATATATATATATATATATATATATATATATATATATATATATATCGTTTTTATATATATATATATATATATATATATATATATATCGTTTATATATATATATATATATATATATATATATATATATATATTTTTATTTTTTTAGGACGTACTTTATTTTTCCTAAAAAATACTCTGGAAATAAGTGTGTCTTCCACGACGTATGTAAGGCAACACCCAGGCTCAAGTAATCTTGGGCAGTCACCTAATTGGCTTGACTGATATGGACGTGGATTTGTATTTTGAGTCTTGAAACTACAGTGTTAATTATCTTTCTAGTTCTGCCTTTTCTATGATGTAACCTCAATGCTTAGACTATAAAACTTCCTAGAGCCGAGCCTTAAACATGCTCTGCTTACTAGCAGCAGTGGAAGCCTTTCTGCTCTTGACTAATTTAGTGTAACACGGATATAAGAGACCCGGATATAAGACAAACCCGGTTATAAGAGAGATTTTCTCTGGTCCCAATGTGTTCCCATACTTACCTAAACAAAATAGACAAAACCCGGATATAAGAGAAACCCGGATATAAGAGACTTCATTGCCATACAAACAAAATCGGGCGAGTGATTAATGTAAACAATACGTGGCGCCAGTATGAGGGACCCATGGTAAATGTGTTGTTGTATGAGAATGACTATTTTTCTTAGAAATTTTTTGCAATATTAGGGTACGTCTTCCAATATATATATATATATATATATATATATATATATATATATATATATATATACCGTATTTTCCGGTTTACAAGACGCTGCAGCTTGGAAGACGCACCCTAATATTGGAAAAAATTTCTAAGACGTGGTGTAATGGTTAGAAAGCTTCTCTTGCTAGATCAATTACGACTGAGTAATGAGTTCGATCCTCACTGGGTGCCCCATACTTTCGGCCTTGTGCCACATCCAAGCCGGGCATAGAAAATCACTATATATATATATATATATATATATATACATATATATATATATATATATATATATATATATATATATATATATATATAATAAAATGAATTGCTTAAACACTAATATTCCATGGTCATAATTTATTCCATTGGAATTGTAAATACAGTCCAATGGAATGAATTGCACCGTATTTACGATTTTTTGGAATATATATATATATATATATATGCTTTTTGAATTTGTAGGTCTGATGCATTGGATCGTATTTACGATTCCAATGAAATAAATTATGACCATGGAATATTAGTGTTTAAGCCTTTTTATTATATCCTTACTCTGTCCTGGACATTGAGTTCTACCTGGATTCTATCCACTTGGAATTTTTTTATTCAAAAATATATATATGTATGCGTATGCATGTATGTATATATATTTATATATTTTGCATATGTATGTGTATATTTACCACTAATATTATCTATCTATCTATCTATCTATCTATCTATATATATATATATATATATATAGTTGTCCTTCTCTTAGACCAGTTGCCACCCAGTCTATCCTGCTATTTTACCCATAGCTGGAGGGAGAAGAAGAGGATTCATACCTTTCCCAAGTTTATTAGCACGTAAGTGAATGTAATGGATTCGACTGGAATTCGAACTGGGATCGCCGATTTCTCAGTCCAATCTGCTATCCATTATTTGATCCGTTGGTATATAATCCGGTGGATCCCAGTAATATTAATTATTAAAAACTGATCACCAGCAAGCTCGATGTATTTGTTATGACAGAGCGTGTATTTTTTTTACAGCAGAGCAGGACTGACATTGAAAATAAATTTAAAACAATGCTTCGAGACAGGCACTTAGGGGCTGATGATAGCTGCGTACAAACCAGCTTGAAGTAGACTATCCCTATGTTGAAGTAATTTTTGTTTTTTTTTTTTGCTATGTATGTATGTACACACACACACACACACACACACACACACACATATATATATATATATATATATATGGAGAGAGAGGGAGAGGGATAGAGAGAATGGGGAGAGTTAGCGAGTGTAATATCAGGTTTTGTCATTTTTAGTTATCTATAATTTAGCTGTCTCATGAGACACTGATAATTTGTGTGTAGATTTTAATTATGTATTTCCCGGTTATGGATTATGGTTCATGCAACCAAAGAAGCAAAGTTGAATGGCAGACAAACTGCATCTGGAATTAGTTTATCTCATCTTCTATCCAACAATTTGTTGTTTATAGAGCATTAATGAGGTCACTATATCTGCTCTGGTGTCAATTTTTTTTATTGACGATGATGTTCACTCTGTACAAGGCCCGAGAACCACTCGAGCTAGACGGCTACAGAGGTAAGTTTATGCGGATATGTATGGAAGATAACGGTTAACCCATGACTTGAGCAAGTTAAGATTGTGGTGAGGAAGCATCTGTTTGGGAGTCGGTTCCACAGAGTAATGGTTCGTGGGCAGAAGCTGCCCAGTTAGAACTTACATTTCAACAGTGGAATACGAAGGTAATGCTATAATGTGTGTTGCATGGCTACTCTTAGACGTGAATGCGAGAACCGGTAGAACTAAGGAATATAGTTCGTCTGAACACTTTCCATGTAAAAAACGATATAGGCGTGTAGATGCTTGCGATGTTTCGTCTGTGGGGAAAGGGATTGTATGGTGGAAAATAATTCATCACCCACAAGGACGTCCGTACTATATATCTCGAGATTCTTGACAAAATTCAAACAAGGGTCTGTAATGTAATCGAGTCTGACCTGGCATATCGACATCAGTCAATTTTTCACCGATGTGGCATGGCTTTCCCTTGCCTTTTCTACTAATCTTTTATTTGTAAATTGTTCTAATGAGCTTTTTATATTAATGTGTTGTTTAATGAATGAATTTAAGCGTGTTACTAGATGGGAAGCTAGGTCTCGCCTTTTTACTGTTGAACTAGCAAGGTGTAACCGCTACTTATATTCTAACGGATTTTTTTTCTCGCATTTCTCACGTGTGGAACTCTCTTCCGTTTTTTAGCTTCTCTGAAAACCTACAATTTACAAAGATTTGAATGCAACATCAATCGCCATCCATTGTCTTTCTGGACCATGTTCTTTTATTGCTCTTTACTCACTAAGTCTATACATTTAAAAAGCAATATATTCGCCATTGTTTGATGTTCGAAATCTGAAAATGGCAATACTGGGACAGAAGCATTAAGAACAAAAGTGCAGTGTATACGGATGCTGCAAAGGTTCATGCATGTCAGATGTAGTTTAGAAGGTTGAAAAATAGCGGAATATTCGACCAACATCTAACCACAGAAATAAAGAAAGGAAGGAAGGAAGAAAGAAAGAAAGAAAGAAAGAAAGAAGGAAAGAAAGAAAGAAGGAAAGAAAGAAAGAAAGAAAGAAAAAAAGAAAGAAAGAACAATCATACTTGATAAGAAAGAAAGAAAGAAAGAAAGAAAGAAAGAAAGAAGAAAATACAGGATAAGAAAGAAAGAACAATCATACTGGATAAGAAAGAAAGATAATCATAATTGATAAGAAAGAAAGAAAGAAAGAAAGAAAGAAAGAAAGAAAGAAAGAACAATCATACTGGATAAGAAAGAAAGAAAGAAAGAAAGAAAGAAAGAAAGAACAATCATAATTGATAAAAAGAAAGGAAAGAAAGAAAGAAACAATCATACTGGATAAGAAAAAAAAAAAGAAAAAAGATAAGAATAATTGATAAGAAGAAAGAAAAGAAAGAACATGCAGGAAAGAAACAAAAAAAAAAAGAACAAAATACTGGATAAGAAAAAAGAAAGAAAGAAAGAAAGAAAGAAAAGAAAGGAAAGAAAAAAATATAGGTTAAGAAAAGAAAAGAAAGAAAAGAAAGAAAGAAAGAACAAAAGAAATAATTGAAATAAGGATAAGAAAGAAAGAACAAATACTGGAAAGAAAGAAAGAAGAAAATACAGGATAAGAAAAAAAGAAAGAAAAAGGTAAGAAAGAACCATCATAATTGATAAGAATGAAAGAAAGAAGAACATGCAGGATAAGAAACAAAGGAAAAAAAGAAGAAAATGCAGGATAAGAAAGAAAGAAAGAAAGAAAGAAAGAAAGAAAGAATATAGGTTAAGAAAGAAAGAAAGAAAGAAAGGGAGAGAGAAGAAAGTACTGATAACAAAGAAAGAATTGGGTAAAAACGAATGACAGTATGTACTGATAATAATGAAAGAAAGAAGGAAATACTAGATAGGAAAGAAAGAAGGAAAGGAAAATCATACTTGATTAGAAATAAATAAAGAAAGAAGAAAATATTGGATAAGAAAGAGAGAACGAAAGAAAGGAAAAAATATCTCGATAAGAAAGAATAAAAAGAAAGTCCTGATAATAAATGAAAAGTAAAAAGAAACGAATAGCACAGAAGGACCATCACTTCAAGCGTTTCTTGCCAGTAACTTGATCGTACAAATGAAGCATTAGATACTAAGTGTACTGCTTTGGTAAACATAATTTTCCCGCCTTCAAGACAATGCATGCGTACACTCTGAAAAACAAATCCAAGAAAAAAAAAAGAAAAAAAAAAGAAAAGTTCTTCCACATCCTGCTTGATAGATTTGGCACCTACAGTTGTAGAGGCCATGGTTAAATGTAATTGGCAGGAATGCCCAACAAACAGAATTGACAAAGTTTACAATAAACAATAAGAAGAGAAAAGAACAAGGCAAAAATAATACTAAGCAAACAATATATGTAAAACAAAAGTAGGGAAAACAGTAATAAGGCCAAAAAACAGTAATAAGGCGAAAAAACAGTAATAAGGCCAAAAAAAAAAAAAAAAAATCACAAACTAAGAATGGTGTTAAAACACAAAGGGGATACAAACAAGTGATCACAGCGTTCTGACCTCAAGACAAGAAAGGACAGAAATATGGTTGATAAGACCGAGTAGTGGTCTGTCTTATTGGCTCGGAAGAAATCCCAGTATGCGTCTGTATGGTTTTTCTATAGAATTGGAAAGGGGGGAGTTTTTGCAGTTTGTCAAACAATGATTTGAATAGATAATACCGGTCTACATTTTTTTCGACCCCAAAATGGAAATTATTTGTATTGAGAACACGTAATGCGATGGGGGAAAAATGGACCTGATTTTCAGAATCAGTGTGAAAAATAGCGGAGAAAGATTTGGGTCGAAAAAAATGTCAGCTGGTGTAATAGATTTTTATTTGCCCAGATTCTTCTTCTTCTTCTTGATATTTAAAAATCCAGAGTATAAGTGATTGTTTTGGTAAATACCAATTATTGCACTTTCAAGGAATTTTCGTCTTAATAAGTGATTTTCTCTCTTAATATATACTGCGTTTTTGAGACCAAAATTGTTGTCGATTTTATTTCCGGGTATAGATAATGCATTGAATAAATTGTTATATAGGAGATCTTCCTTATGTTTATAAATACAAGTTTTTAACATTTCTGTGAGTTTCACCAATAAAGAACGGCTGTTACAGTTTATTTTATAATGTCCGCTTCAGAATTATTGTTATCCAGAATAGCTTGGAATGAAGTAATTGATTTAATCTTAAGTCTGGATATATTATTTTAAAAAGTATATCCTACCGAGTTGGTACGCGATATTATGTATCGATTTAATTTAATTTATTATTATCATTCTTGATGTTATAGTTGTAGTTATAATTAAATAAAATACAAAAAAAGAACGCGATACCTGAGTTTTAAAATGAATTTCTAAAAATGAAAAATCTTTCTTGAAGCTGTTATTTTTAGTTTTAATTTCAAGCTAATAGATTAAATTTTATGTTTCCAATAAGCAAAATACTTTGCTGTATTTTAAAAACTAATTTAAATCGTGTGAAATAATGTTTTGTTTGTTTTGCTAAAATAGCTGATTTTCGCCTTTTTTGTGGTTGTCTTTTCATCGCGATGTTGTTCTCTTTATTAAAAACAATCTTCCAAAAATAAAATATACTTTTCTGAAAATTTAAGGAATATTAAAGTATAATTAATCTGATTTGAAATAACTATTGTTTACTTTAAGTTTAAAATATCGAAAAAATTAATTTTCTAAACCAGCTGTTTATTTAAGGCGTTCGTGTGTTTGACAGTTTGATATGTATCTAATGTTGTTCTATGGTGGCTTTAGGCATTAAAAAGGTGTTAAAAACTAACTTAATTAACGTGAGCGATTTCTTTGTATGATTTTTAAGTAATCTGTAGTCTTAAAAATTTAAGAAAATATTCTCCGTAATCTAATGTTTATTGAATTTTATTAAATATTTTTGGCTGTATAATTCCTCTTATTTTTTGATAATGTCGTGTATGGTCGATCGTATAATAGAAAATCGGCATGTTTATACATATAAAAAAAAGAAATTTAAAAAAGAAAAAAAATATTGGTGCGTGAGGATTTTGCAATTTATTATTAGTAAATATAGATTTTACTTAACAATATCACTTAACTTGTGCAGATTAAAAAAATGGGCAGAAATTTAAAAGATTTAAAACTTCATAAATTATTCTCATTAAAATTTTCAGAAAAAAAAAACAATTCATTATTCATTGAAAAAATTAAATTTTTGAAGATTAAAGTTGACTGGAAAACATGAAGCCGGAAGAGAGTTACACAAGTGAGAAGTGCGACAAAAGAAAGTGTTAGCATAGAATTTACGGTTAACAATTCAACTGTCAAATGATAGAATCTCGTTGCCAGTCTAGTACAGGGCTTAAATTCGTATCTCATTTGAACAATTACGAAAAAATGTTTATAGTAAAGCACAGGGAGGAAATTTTACGGTGGTGGGAAAGTGAGTGAAGCCGAGATGCCAGTGTCAGGACCAGTAATATTCCTAATTCTCTTTGGATTTTATCAAGAATCTCTAAATATATAGCAGGGGCATCGGATCATATGCGGCAGCAATATTCTAATGCATAGACGAATGGTAGATTTATAGATATGTAAGAGAGATTCTGATGAGAGAAATAGTCTCACACGACACAGTGAACCAACTTTCTTAGCAGCTGACCTAGTAATGGATAGGCTGGATCGCTTTCTTTCTTCCACTTAACAAGATTGTGCTTAGAGGATAGCAGGTCATCTGTGGAACGTATAAAAAAAAAACGCAACCTAAGTGGAGCCATCTTCCAAATGTCCTTCCAAGTAATAGATTTTTGAAGAGCCTCCTCCCAGTTTGTCCATTGGCCTTGTCGGGATTGTTGTACCCCTTTTAGGAGTCTTTTATTATCTTCTTCGTTCCTTACATTTTGGATGACCATGTCTCGGCGATATTTACCAGACGTTTTCGACCACCACTGCTTTTCATTTTGCCCTAACACTTGTTTCCCTGTCTGGGCGTATCCGATGACTTCATTGAATGCTAGATTATCTTTAGCACTTGTTATAATCTCTTTGACATTCCAATTTCTCTCCGTTTTTAATGTAGGATTTACTGACTTTATCCTTGGAGTCATCCAGTATCATCTGAAGTCTGATAGTCCAGAAACGACCTTGTGCATGATTTGAATTTGGAGTTGTCTTTCTCCTAGAACGGTTACCATCCAAGGCTATAGAACCCAGTCTGTCCTGCTATTTACCCATAGTTGGAGGGAGAAGAAGATGATTCATACCTTTCCCAAGGGTATTAGCACTTAAGTGAATGTAATGGATTCGATTGGATTTCGAACTCGTCGGATTCCTCAGTCCGATCCGTTATCCACTATCCACCACATATATATATATATATATATATATATATATATATATATATATATATATATATATATATATATATATATATATATATATATATATATATATATATATATATATATATATATATATATATATATATATATATATATATATATATTATATATAAGGAACGGAAAAAACAAAGACATAAATATGTGTATTACTTAAAAGTAATGCATGATTAGCAATGACATTTTTACCGAATAAAGATTAGGGTGTAATGCATAAATATTATACAAAGTTACAAAAATTTACATAATAGTTTTTTTTTAAAATAAAGATTAAATAGAACAAAGGAAATAAGCTACTGGACAAAAGTTAAGGAACGATCTTGTTTATACTTGATTGTGAACAAAATATCAACAAAATTTAATATTTGGTAAACATCCCCTTATTTTCAATGACTTCTCTTTTACATATGCAATGTTACATTTGGAGTCCATGTTTAGCACTTTTTGTACAGTATATAAAAACTATAACCGTAAAACTGTCAAAAGGTAAGTTATTTGATACTTTATTAATTTATGTTGATATTTATTAAGATTTGTTTTGCATCAGCCTTCGCCTAATTGATTGGATGGGACATAAGGAAACATGGCTTTCTTAACCTGGAACACTGATCTCAACCAGTCAGAAATACCTATTAGGACTTTCTTTGGAAAAAAGAAATCATGTTCACCATGTTCAAAACCCAAAAAGCTATTATGTAAATTTTGGTAACTTTGTATAATATTTATGCATTACACCCTAATTTTTGTTCGGTTAAAATTTCATTGCTAATCATACACATATTTAAGTTTTTGTTGTTTCTGTTCCTTATATTATGGCCGATAATATATATATATATATATATATATATATATGAAAGGCACAAACACTAATATTCCATAGTTATAATTTATTACATTGGAATCATAATCCCGATCAACTCATCAGACCTACAAATTCAAAACGCTTTTTTGAATTTGTAGGTCTAATGTATTGGATCGTGATTCCGATTCCAATGTAATAAATTATAACCATGGAATATTAGTGTTTGAGCCTTTTATATTATATTCTTACTCTGTACTGGACATTGAGTTCTACCTGGATTCTATCCTCTTGGGATATATATATATATATATATATATATACACACACACACACAGAGAGAGAGAGAGAGAGAGAGAGAGAGAGAGAGCGCAATTAAATATTCTCCTGCACGCAAAACCGCCTTCTTTCGCGACGTAATGTCAACATGTCCGGTTGAGACTAGTGGGCCGTCAGTCTTATCATCCATTTAATTTTATCGTGGCTGTCTCCAAAGTGTGTCTAGAAAAGTCAATATTTGCGGCTCATCGGTAATGTTCAGCGCAAGATAAACGACAAGTGTCTGTTTTAGTGCTAACTAGGGACTGACTATGTCTTGATTTAATGACAGGGTTTTTGTGGGTGGGCCAGCATGTGATACTTGCTACGCTAGCCTTCGGGGCTATTTTCCTTGGGAGGGTACTTAAAAAGGAGCATTGCAGTTCAAATGTCCGTGTTGGATGTTTAGAAGATATCGTAAATGAATAAAAAGAGTGAAGAAAAAAAGAAAAAAGACAGAACAAGTGACATGAAGAAAGAAATAAATAAATAAAGAAAGAAAGACAGAATACTAGATAAGAAAGAAAAAAGGAAGGAAGAAAGAATCAGAGAAAGAAAAGCAGAAGAAAATACTAGATAAGAAAGAAAGAATGAAAACTCGATAATAAATAAATAAATAAATAAAGAAAGAAAGGAAGAAAGAAAGAAAGAAAAGGAAACGCTTCATGTAAGAAAGAAAGAGAGATAATGGGTAAAATACTGGGTAAAAAGAATGACAATATATACTGATAAGAGAGAAATTAAGAAAGAAAGAAAGAAAGAAAGGAAGAAGAAAATACTGGATAACAAAGAAATGAAGGAAGAAGAAAATACTCGATAAGAAAGAAAAAAAGAAAGAAAAAAATAAATAAATAAAAATAAAAACAAAATAATGGACGAGAAAAAAAAGAAAGAAAATGACGGTAATATTTTGGATAAGAAAGAAAGAGAGATACTGATTAAAATACTGGGTAAAAAGAATAACAGTATATACTGATAAGAAAGAAAGAAAGAAAGAAAGAAAGAAAGAAAGAAAGAAAGAAAGAAAGAAAGAAAGGGAAATATTTCAAATAAAAAAGCGAGAAGAAAGTACTGATAATAAAGAAAGATAAAGAAAAGAAAAGAAAGAAAGAAAGAAAATACAGGATAAGAAAGACAGCAAAAAAGAAAAGGGAGACTTTCTAGATAAGAAAGAAAGAGAGAAAAAAGTGTAGATAATAAAGAAAAAGAACTAAATACTGAGTAAAAAAGAAAGTCAGTATGTACTGATAATAAAGAATGAAAGAAAGAAAGAAAGAAAGAAAGAAAGAAAGAAAATAAGAATAAAAATGCTTGATTAGAAAGAAAGTGCGAAAGGAAGTAGAAAAGAAAGAAGGGTTGGGTAAAAAAAGAAGAGAGAGAGAAATAGATAGTTAAACAAGAAAGTGCACATAATAAAGAAAGAAAAAAGAAAGAGGTACTGAAAAGAAAAAAGAATGAAAGAAAGTACTGATTATAAAGAAAGAATGTTAGTACTAATTAACAGAGAAAGAAAGATAGTAATGTCAGACAAAGAAAGAAAAAAAAAATTACTGAAGAACCGACAAAGAAAGAAAGAAATTTTCAAAAGATCAGAACAGCAAGAATAGGTTTGATTTATTTTGTTTTACGGCATATCAACATCAAATGGGTTATTTCATGCCGACATAATTTTTAGGATAGATTCGTATGAATAGAATATGTATTCTTTGGTTTAGATTGGTTTGGTTTATTTTGTTTTACGGCATATCAACCTCAATGGGTTATTCAATGCCGACAACATTTTTAGGATAGATTCGTATGAATAGAATATGTATTTTTTGCAAGAAATCAGTTCGTGGATCAGGTTTCACTGATGTATTTTTCTAAAGAGGGTTTTTGTCGAGAGTCAAATGTGTTGCTGGTAATATTTTTTTTTCCAAAAATGTATTGCTGGTTTATATATGTTTTTTTTTTTTCAAAAATGTTTTATTGTTAATAATTGTTTTCAAAAATGTTTTATTGTTAATAATTGTTTTCAAAAATGTATTGCTGGCAATAATTTTTTTCAAACAGGTATTGCTGGTAATGATTTTTTTTCAAAATCGATTTCTAGTATTTTTAATCTAAAAAACAATTTTTGCACTTTCATAGTGTTTTGATCACAGTTTGGAGGTTAACTATTAAACCCATAGCTGGGACCCTAACAGGTGCTACCACCCGGTGTCATGGTAGACCTGGGAATAACAGCAATTGTTCCACACTCCACAAAACCTCCTGATCAGGAGCCATGCTGCTGGGTATATTTTATCGTCATAGCCAGGATGCCTAATGCGAGTGGGGGTGTTGGTCTTACCCCGCTGCAGAATTGCAGTCGGCGTGTTCTGAAGCCTCAGGAGAGAATAGAAGAAAAGTGTGTGTGTGTGTGTGTGTGTGTGTGTGTGTGTGTAGGGGGGATTTTGTAAATAAAATAAAACATTTGAGAATGAGGAGTGTATATAGACTTTCAACATTTGGAGAGAGGCAAATACAAGTTTCCTTTTCAGTATGATTCTTTCTTTCTTTCTTTCTTTCTTTCTTTCTTTCTTTTCTTTCTTATCTATATATACTGTGCTTGAGAAATAGGAGAAGAAAGAGACAGAGTGAGAAAGACTTATAGAGAAGATAAAAAGCCGGTAAATATATTCATATAGAGAAATATGTGGGATGGAGGAAATAGATAGATAGATAGATAGAGAGAGAGAGAGAGAGAGAGAGAGAGAGAGAGAGAGAGAGAGAGAGCAGGGACAACAGAACGAAGCAAAATGAGAAACTACCTACAGTAGAATCGAGGAAAGAAAGAAAGATATGAAAAGACGATAGACATGTTGACTTGAATATCATCTAATTTTAATTATGTTTTAATAACTATGTCCTGAAGAAGGTCTACTAGACCGAAACGTCTGACGTCGACATTGAAACAACATTAAAACAGCATAGTTGCATATTCGAATTTTTGTTTTTCCATATTTTTCTTCATACTGTCGGATCTATATCTACATATTTGCTTTATATATATATATATATATATATATATATATCGAGAGAAAGAGAGAGAGAGAGAGAGAGAGAGAGAGGATTACAGAACGAAACAAAATGAGAGGGAAACGACTTATAGAAGAATCGAGGAAAGAAAGGAGGCGGTAAGAAATAGAAAGGAGAGAGAGAGAGAGAGAGAGAGAGAGAGAGAGAGAGAGAGATCAGGGACAACAGAACGAAACAAAATGAGAAACTACCCACAAATAGATAGATAGATAATGAAGTGATATAGATAGATAGATAGATTGATAGATAGATATGTGGCACCATGCATGATTGGAAAACTGAAAGGAGATATTCATAAATATATGATTTATTCTTTTCAGTTTGTTAACCATTTGATAGTTATTTAGAGATGAAAAATATTTCGGAGTTGAGAATAATTCTCTCACTGCGTTCGGGCGATCTGAGAGAAAGAAAGAAAGAAAAGAAAAGGAAGGAAAGAAAGAAAGGAGAAAAATAAATAATACGAAACCAGGTCGTAAGCGAAAACACACACGCTCGACTGGCACATATCAGATGTCAAAAATATCAGGTCAAGCACCGACCTACTTTCGTGTCCGCGGAGGATGGGAGTTTGTTATCAATTTGGTTGAAGAAATAAAATTTTAGGGACAATGCAAAAAAAATATTGATAAGTAACAAATGAAAAGGATGTCATTGAGATGATAGGTAACAGATGGGGAAGTGTATCTAAGGATATGAAAACAAAGCATTAATACAAGAACCCAGAGGATTCCAGAATTGAAAGGAGGGCCACACAAGGTGATGTAGAAAATGCTTTTTTGAGATAATTAAGATTTTTGTTAACAAGCTCCGAGCGAAAGAAAAAGGTGAAATATTTGTATTAGCTCGCGAGAACGCCACGCAGTCTAAGAAATTCCTTTCTTAGATCGTATCCAATTAGCGGTAGGCTGTTTGACAGATACCACGTGTAAAAGGAACCGATAGCGTCATTCGATCACGTACGAAAAGGACAATTTAAATTTTGTTTTTTTAAGCGGGGTGTTTCTTCCCACAGAACAAAGCCACGGATTGTCCACGCCCGATTAGAGACGTCACGAAGGAAGGAGGAAAGATACCGACCAGAGTCTCATTGGCCGAGGGCGGTCACGTGATGTGCGAGGGAGGAGGAAAGATGCCCGACTAGGACCCCATTGGTCGAGAGCGGTCACCTGACATACGAGGGACCAGGGGAAGCGGGCATACGCCTCCCCCCAGAGGCACAGTAAGGAAGTAGGAGTGAAAGTAAGTTACCGATAATGGAAAATCCCTAATCAGAAATAATACGTCTTTAGAATTATCAAGAAAACCCTGGCGCCGACAGACCCACCCCAGTTTTTGACTGCATCAATAAAAGCAGGACCCCAATCGACAGAAATCAGTTGCAGTTGTGCCGCGGACAGCGAGGGAGCTTGAGCGCGGGTGGCGGGGCCGGTTCATTCGTGCCTTGCGGGGAAGAGAAGCCGAAAAGAAGAAGTTAAAGTTGCAGTTGGGGTTTGCGCCTCGGACGAAGTTGGAGTGGGAGTTGCAGCGCGGACGGCGGGCCCTGTTCATTAGTCCCCTTTGCGGCAAGAGAAGCCGAAGTGAAGCAGCCGTTTGGCCTAAGTGGAGAAGTTGGAATCAAACCAAGCCTAAGAATAGAAATTCGTTCAACCCAAGCCGAAGTGAAGCAGCCGTTTGGCCTAAGTGGAGAAGTTGGAATCAAACCAAGCCTAAGAAGAGAAATTCGTCCAACCCAAGCCGAAGTGAATAAGCTCGTCCAACCGAAGCCGAAGAGAAGAAGTTAGTTCGCGCACTGACGGCAGAGATGAGTGAACAATAGTTCAGACTCTGAGGAGAGAGTTAGTTACAGCCACGGACGACGAGAGAAATCAGCCGTGAACGACAGGTAGAGATCAGCGCCCAGTGTTGAAACCAAACCACACCCCGAAATGCAAATTTCTAGAGAGCAGGCAACTCGAAGCCTTAAAGTTGTATGGTAGAAGCTTGGTGCCACAGTCCACAAAACGGGTCGGGAGGTAGGAATAATCTTGTGTAAACGGACATTTAGATATAAAAAGTTGTTACCTTTTATTTCAATAATTTTTGACCTTGTGAGTTTTTCTTTTTCTTGTGTGTTATCACCCCCGTTGGACTCAGCTTGCATACGGCCCCAATCCCTGTTTGATCCCGTCTGTCTAAGATCTAATCACAACGTGGGTAGGCAGACCGGAGATCTGTGCAGTTACCCTAGTAACCAGGCGTTGGAAGCGAGTTGGGAACGACGAGGCTGGTATTCATCTAACCAAAGGGTTAGAACGTCACACTTGGAGCAGCGAGGAGCGAACAGCTGACGCCGCGGCAAAGACGTCACAACTGGTGTCGTGATCATAGGATCAGAACCCTGGACCACGTCACGTCACAGTTGGCGTCGCGAACGGGATCGAGCGACACAGTCGACGCTGCGACCAGGGGGGACGACGTCACAGATAGATAGATAGATAGATAGATAGATAATGAAGTGATCTAGATAGATAGATAGATAGATAGAGGACTGAAGAACGAAACAAAATGAGAGGGAAACGACTTATAGAAGAATCAAGGAAAGAAAGAAGGAGGTAAGAGAGAGAGAGAGAGAGAGAGAGAGAGAGAGAGAGAGAGAGAGTGTTGTGTGTAGCATACAGATAGATACATAGATTTTTTCATTTTCTCCAATTATTCCCATAATCTGTGCCGCTTACTCTGTAATCCTTTACTTTGAGTGCTTTTTGGGTTTTGAACTTGGTGAATATGATTTCGTTTTTCCAGAGAAAGTCCTAATAGGTATTTCTGACTCGTTGAGATCAGTGTTCCAGGTTAAGAAAGCCATGTTTCCTTATGTCCCATCCAATCAATTAGGCAAAGTCTGATACCAAACAAATTTTAATGAATATCAACATAAATTAATAAAGTATCAAATAACTTACCTTTTGACTGACAGTTTTGCGGTTATACCGCTTGTCACGTCCAGATGAATCTATTAAATTTTTAACAGATAACATATTTATACTCTACACAAGAAGTGCTAAACATAGACTCCAAATGTAACATTGCATATGTAAAAGAGAGGAGAAAAAAAAAACATAAGTACTAGAAAAATAAAGAACACTAATTACGCCCCCACCCCCGTAAAAAGAATGGTAGGCACACAGGTTGTTAGAAATTAGAAATGGGTTCTTTTTCTGAAATAAGATATAATGATAGGGTCATTTGGCAGACGAATATATCGCAAAAAAATGAAAAAGAAAGAGAAAGTGGCGGTGATTTTTATCGGAACGTGAATTGACGAATCAGAAAGTAGCATGAAGATGAAAAAAGTTATTTCCTTTCAAATTATTCAGTGTGGTTTTCGGCTTGGTTGTGGGAAGATCGTCAAAAAAAAAAAAAAAAAAAAGAAAAAAAAAAGAAGAAAATTGATGTTGTAGGAAAGTTCTGCCGCACACTGTGCCGTCTCCGCCACTGATAAGTAGTCGGCAACATTTCCCTTTGGAAAAAAAAAAATGGCCAATACAGACCCCGTTCTGTTATGCTACTTAATATTACAAGAAAACCTTTCAAATGGTAAAAAGAGGACTTTTGGCATTCAGCGGGTAATCGAGAGAGAGAGAGAGAGTGCGATTTGGCTGTATTGGCTGTATGACCCACTACGAAAAAACGACCGTAACTCGCCAAACACCAGTTCGAACCGTAGATGATGTGACAATCATACCCCAAAAAATCTTATTTGAAATCTGTAATGTTAAAGGTCAACGTGATAAGACTTAAATATTCAAACGCGATACAGGATAACAATAAAGTTAAAATATTCGATTTTATCTTTATTGCTAATATTTTTATATAATTTTAGATGGAAATTAATTTAGATTTTAATAAGATTAATTTATTAAACTAAAGATATTAACACAAATATTCAATTTATAATTAAATATTTATATTATTCAAAAAGAATTTATTATGACATATTTAATTGATTATACCAATTATTAATTAGTAAGATTTACATGCAGATTCTATATAATTTATTTATACTATATATTTCAAGTAATTATAAAGTTGTATATATGCATAATTATATAAAATTATATATATATATATATATATATATATATATATATATATATATATGTATATATATATTAGATATCATATATGAAGTATAAATTTATATACAATTATAGATATAAATATATATATATATATATATATATATATATATATATATATATATGTATGTATAAATTATATTTTTTAAAAAAGCGAGAGAGAGAAACGGCATACGTTTTTGGTTATAATGTAGATTTATTTTAGTATATATATATTATATTTCATTCTTCATATTTCTGCTACACTCGTTTTCGGTCTCGTGACCTTCTTCAGGCAAATAAAAAGGAACAAGTTTTTAAAAGGGATACATTTTCCTTATGTTCTTTTAACATCTGATTGTTCGTTTTCTCTATTTGTTAATGAGCCTTGAACTCCTTTCTCGACTGTTGGCAAAAGTGAATTTCTGCCTAAGTGTTAATAAAAGCAATTCACTAAATATATAATTTAGATATTTAGAAAAAAATATAATTTATTTATATCATATAATTTATTTATATTTTTCAAAGGAATTTAATTAATTTTTTTAATCTTAGAAAATAAAATGAAGACAGCAAATTCACCAATGGCAATATAGTGAATTTCCAAGCGTAGCTTAGATGCAGCACAAGGCCGAAAGTAGAGGCACCCAGTGAGGATCGAACTCATTACTCAGTCGTAATTGTTCTAGCAAGACAAGCTTGCTAACAATTATACCGCCTTGAGGTGCCCTCTGATTTTCTAAGCGTAGCTTAGATGTGGCACAAGGCCGAAAGTAGGGGGTACTCAGTGAGGATCGAACTCACTCGTAATTATTCTAGCGAGACAAGCTTGCTAACCATTACACCATCTCGAGGTGTCCCACCAATGGTAGTATAATACGGAATATTAGGTGCACTTATGCCATAGGAATATTCCAAATTACCGTTTATTTAATTGTTAGTCAGTGGCTCAGAAACGACTGCTTTGAAAACAGTGGACATTTCTTTTATTCCTTTTATAACCCTGTTATGTGAGACGGTATTCTATAAGCAGACGCGTAAGTTTAAATATCTGGGAAGCGTTTTGTCAGAGGATGGTAAGTGTGACACTGAGATCAGTTGACGTATCGGGATGGTCAACGATATTATCAGAAAATAAGAGTAAGTAAATATACAGCCAAAAGTATTTAAAATTAAATAAAATATTAGATTGCAGAGAATATTTTCTTAAATTTTTAAGATTACAGAGTACTTAAAAATCATATATAGAAAGAGCTCACGTTAATTGAATTATTTTTTTAAAACATTTTAACGCCTTTTTTAACACCTAAAGCCTCCATCGAGCAACATTAGCCAACTATCAAACTGTCAAACAAACGAACATACAAAAATATAAATAAAAAGTTAATCGATATCTGCTGTCCTTTCGATTATTCTTTTTTTGTTCTCTCTCCTTAAGAATGTTTCTGTTTTCTAATCCTTCTACACGCAGTAACTACTTTTGTCTTAGCTGTTCTGCTGCATTGGTCGGGGTAAACTTAAAAATTGTTACATAGGTTAGTACGCATTAGAAGTCAAGGGAGTTAACTCTTCAAAATAAATTGAGGAGTACTCTCCCCTGAATAATTCATTGAGGGTGTGTATTGACATGCAGTGCAACGCCTTTAAACGTGGTTTTCTTTTCATTTCAGGATGAGGGTCTCAACAACTTCCTGTCCAGTTTAACCCTTAGTCTTGACTAAGCTTTCCACTTCCGGTTCACCCATTCATTCACACAAGCTCGTAAAGTAGGTGGCTCATTGCATTCCTCTTTCTCTCTTCTCCGCAATGTGACATGTGCGGCTTAAGTTTTTCTGCCCTCCTCCCTTATTCTGTGTCCAAGAAATCTCAGCTATCTCTTTATGATTCTGTGTATGTGTCTTTTTTACCATTTTCTTCCTAGTTGCTTATTCCCTTCATCCATGGAATTCTCAGCATCCTTCTGTAGAACCACATTTCTTTTGCCTCTAGTTTTTCCTTCATCTGTGGGGTGATTGTCCAGCATTCATTGCGATACATGAAGATGGATATCACATAGCGATCTTCACAATTTCCTCTCTTTGTAGCTCTTAATAAATAAATACATTCAGCATATTTGTGATCATGGCTCTCCACATTTTTCTGTCCTTATGTAGCTCTTAATTAATTTAGTCCTTTTGTTATTTCACCTAAACGTTGTTTCGCCATCTTTTTATTCAAGCTCACTAAGTAAGTTATCCATTGTTTTTATTTGTCCCTCTTACTTTCAATCAGTCCTGTGACTATCAGATTTTCAAGCCCTCTTTCTTCATGATGTGCCCTAGAAATTTCTACTGCTTCTTCCTGATGTCAAGTATAAGTTTCGTTCTTGTTTCTATTCTCTCGTCATTGCTCGCTTGTTCAATTCATGGTAACTTCCCCCTCCACATTTCTATTGTTTTACGTTTCCTCTTCATCCGTGTGGAGATTGTCCAGCATTCATTGCCATACAGGAGGACTGATATATAACAGTTCAGTACTTTTTTCTTTGTTTCTAACGGAATTTTTCTGTTTCTTAATACTTTGCTTAACTTTATGAAGACATCTTTCGCTATCTCAATGCGCCTTCGGATTTCGGTGTCGCACTTTCGGTCCTTTGTTAAAACAATTCCCAGATATTTTTGTACTTGTTTGATTCTGGTATGACCAGTTTGCATGTTGGCTATTCTTTTTGATGACAGCCATACATTCTGTATTGTTATGTATAATTGATTGTTTTTCGTTACATTTCTCTCAATTTGTCGTTGCTCAGGTGTTCGATCTTAGTATTCTCAGCATCCTTCTGTAGAACCACATTTCTGTTGTTTCAAGTCTTTTCTTCCTTCGTGAGGAAATTGTCCAGCATTCACTGTCATGTTTCGTATTACTTTTCTTAGATTTTGAAAGGCACCTTTCGTTATTCCAACGGATTTCAGCGTTGCTCTTGCTGTCCTCTGTTAATACACTACCTAGATATTTAAATAAGTACCAACATAAAAAAAAGATGATCAATCATTTTTCCTTTACTATTTTTTCCGCCTGCTTCTTTCTTTGTCGCATTTTAACTGTTACATTTCATATCAACATTCTGTCAATAATCTCAAATGAATGTATCTTATAACCTATACAATTGTGCCTTTTTAAAAACCATTTCACCAAGGCAATAAAGCCACTAAGGCGCAGAGGGTTACTGAGTATGAGAACAGAATAAAAAAAATCTCGTTAGTTATTCAAAATTTAAAAATTTAAGAACGCTTATAAATATACATGAGAGTAACTGTAAGTGTCGATAAACTATGGCGGATACTAAGTGATACAATTTAATATCTAATAACCGAAAGTGAGTAAATATTTTTATTGCTGTTGTTGCATCTTTATTTTATAATTTAACTATTATTTATTTTTATTTGAAAAATTAATTTATGTATTTATATATTTTAAATAATAGGTTTCTAATTTAACGATTTACTTTTAGTTTCTTAAAATGTTTTATATTCATGTATATTGGCTTGGAAAAGGAGTATATCTTTTAAGAAAGGAGATACTTTAAAAATTATAATTTGGTTAAATTCGATAGCAGCACTTACGAGAATTGTTCGTCTAAGTAAATTATTTCCTCTTTTACTAAGTGCGGAATTCTTTAGATCGAAGTTATGGTCGAATTTATTTCTATGCATGGCGGAGACATTTTATAAATTGTTATTTTTGTGTTCCTAGATAAATTTCTTTTAATTTCTTTAACTTTCATTATCTTTTTATCATTGAAATCAGCAATGGAAGAAATAACATTTACTCACTTTCATCTATTAGACATTAAATAGCATCACTCCAAAGCTTAGCTTGACTTTCAATTAACCCGAAGTTGAGAAAAGTTGTCCTTTTGTCTTCAGACACACACACACACA